AGTACCAGATTTAGTTTTAAACTTAGTTTCAGGCTTTGACTGAAGAGATGCTCTCAGTGGGTTCAATTAAAATGGATTTGGCCCTTCACTTCCCTTCGTGGATGATTTCTGATCTGCCTGACCCTCCTAGAGGGGCTTCTCATTTCCCATTATTTAAAAATAGGTCATTGAGAGTTTTATGAACACATGCAAAATATTAATTACAAAGTTCACCAGCACAGTGTTGGTCAGCTGGTGGGATACCTTCCCTCAAAGAAAAACAAGGATTTATGGCAGCGAGTTCTTGGGAGATTGACAGGATAAATGCTCGTAGGTGGTTGAGAAGAGCCTGGCCTAATCTAATTTACAGCTCTAATTAGCTGAATTTTAGAAAAATCTGTTTGACCTTCTTGAGGGCAGCGAAAGCTGCATCTTTCCCTGGTATTCACAAACATTGCAATTTAAAAAAGCTCCAGAGCTGCAAAACTGAAAGCACCAGATCCAGATGGAGATGCAGCTCCCTCTGGAAGGAGCAGAGGAGAAAATCAGGATTTCATTCCTGTGACACGCAGTAGCCACTAAGGTTTCCTTATATTCTTCCATCGAGCAGCCTGGAAAACTCTAAATTGCACAAAATCCCAATTTTCTTTCCACCATGCCAGCACTTTTATCTTGTCTTAGAAAATGTGATCATCTCAGTGAAGGAAATATTAATAAAATAAAAAAGCTGATTATTAAATACAAAAAGATTCTACAATAATTTCATACTAACATAACTAATGTGATAATAACATTCCTATTAAAAAGCTAAATTTTAACATTAAACTCATTCTTGAAATAAACTTTTACTTAGAACTGAAAAATTTAGAAATAAACTTCTACTTTTCAGATGGCTGCAAAGCTGTGCAGTCCTTTGATCTCCTACCACAAATAGCAAAAAATGGTATTTTTCTGGAAATCAAGTTTTTTTGCTTAATGAAAGAGTAGAAGAGTTGCAATTTATTGTTAAGAAGTTTCCTCTTCTGGTGGAACCTGAAAACAACCCCAATCCAAAAAGTTATTGTGTCTGAATTGAAACTTGAATTTAAACTTGAGTTAAACTGGATTAAATTTATTAATTTGAAATTAAATTATTTCAAAGTGCTGCAGTTCACCTGGGCCAGTTCTGGAGCTGGGAAATTTGTGTTGAAGGATTTGTATCCACAGATTTTAAAGTGCTGAAGTCAAAACAGGGATTTATAATTGCTAAATGAACACCGAGGAGTGAAACTAATCTCACACAGGTTTTGTTTTAAATACCTGTCCAATTTTAGGAGGGAAAACAAGCCACAAGGAACTTCCTGACAAGATTCTTGTATTCTAATATGATAAGTTTTAAAAGGTAGTAACTTTATTCAGATAATTCTACTAGGAGCACTAAAAGTAGTGTTAAAAACTGATTTGTTGCCAGTGTTTCTTCCCTGATACAGACACAGGAATATTTGCTTCAATTTCTTTGATTTCTTTTGATTTTGGCTAAAAATATTTCCTGGGCAAGAAATGATGCTGCTTCAAATCAGCAGTGAGTGGATAATGAACACTTTTTTCATGGTTTTATGGTATCCCTACCCTTAATTCCCAAATTCTGACTGCCTCTTGTGAAAACTGATATTTTCGGTGAAATATAGAAAGTTTTACTCTGCCATCTGTCCCCTAAAAGTGGTGGTTATCAAATATCACTTTGGGATTACAAGGGTGGATTTTAGCCATGCACAATCCTGCATTCTACTGGATTTTAAAAAGCCCTTCTGGAGAAAAAATTAATCAGGAGAATTTGCTTAAATTCAGTAAAATAAAAAAGGGAAATTTATAATGCTAAAGATCAGAACAGGATTGGGTTTTTAGCTTTCAAATACACTGATTTTCCCAAATTTCAGTGTTAATGTCCATTGCTATTTTATCATAAAGATGACCCAGTGAGGACAAATCATGATGAGACAGGTCCTGACCTACCTGCCACTCACAGAACCAGAAAAACATCAATATCTGCCCTGAGCACCATCAAAAGTTCCCAGATGATGCCACATTCCTGAGATTTAAATTCCAGGTGGGTTTTCATTATGTTTCTCAGTACTAAAAAGGAAAATTTACTTCATGAGATGTTCCTCAAGTTAAGTTTATCCACAAATTCCAGCCTCTGGTTGCAAGCCTGAGAATATTCACTAATTATGACTTTTGAGTGGCAGGGAACCTCATGTGGAAGTTTTTAAACAGGGTGTGTGTTCCCACCTGTCTCCAGGATTTTTTGTGACCTCCTCTGAGAACCAACCATAAATTACATTCTAAAGAAACAGGGAGGGAAGCTGGAGTGGGAATCTATGGAGACAACATCCTCAAAGATCATCAATTACCTGCTATCTGTTAATTTCTGAGAATTGCCTCCATCAGAGCCCAGCCTTGGGGAAATTACCCCAAATTCTGGGGGTGTTTACAGCTCAGCTCCAAGGTTAACAACTGCTCTCCCAAAACAGCATCACCCCTCCGGGTCAGGGCAGGGGAGCAATGCCAGGGAAAGAGACAAATTCAAAGGTGCAAAATTCAAACCAATGCAAGTTTTCTTTCCCTGTTTCATGTAATTAAGCAGCTTGTCTTGCTGTCAAGGAACTCTTCCAAGGCAAGAACTCACAGAAGTCTGGAAGGAAATTGGATATGAAAGAGACTGTCAGGAACGGGCAGAGCTGCGGCGTCGATGGCAATGCAGGGCTGAAATATTAAAATCCAGTTATTGTTGTCAGCAAGTTTTGAAGGTTTTGAAACTCTTTGTGACAATCAAGTTGATTTTTCAACCTTATTTATGTAGTGGAAGCAGCAAGACCATCTATTTTTAATAAGTGTGGAGATGAAATTGAGAGGATAGATGGAGGCTCCCACAGGGAAGGGTGGGATCGGTGACAATTGACAGCACAGCAGTGACAATGCCATCAAAAGGATGTTCAAACCAACACCTCTGGAAAAATAATCTTAAATAATAAATCCTCTGCAGGGATTTAAATGCCGTGAGGATGTGGCACTTGGGGACATGGGACAGTGGTGGCCTTGGAAGTGTTGGGGTTGGACTCTGGTTTTGGAGGGCTTTTCCAACCTAAATGATGCTGTGAGATTAAATCTCATTAACAGGCTGCTCTATATTTAAATAAGATTTAAAATACTTATTCTTTACTACTCCCTCAAAATCACTGGAGAAATTATCTATAAATAAATTTGTAGATCTAAAAACAAATAGATATATCTATATCCAGCAACTTGTAAATCCAAGTGACAATCATGGATAACTAAGAGAAACTCTGCTTCCTGATTCTTTCGTGTCCCACTCCTTTCCTTCTTTCCTTCAAATCATCTGTCCAGATTAAAAAAATCAAAAATATTGACAATGCAGAAAGTTTGCAATGAAATTTTCCTACCATTTCCTTTTTTTAAAAAAAATTGTGCTGCCACACAACAATGAAGATGTAGCACTACAGAAATTAAAGAGAATTTGGAAATGTTCCTAGAGGAAAGAGGTTTGTTTCTTTGGCTGACCCCTCAGGTAAAAGATTTGTCTCAGCTCTCCCTCAGAATTATCAACCTTGAGGAAGATTTGCAGTTTCAGATTTTCTGAGTGGGAAAAGGAGCTGCCCATAAAATACATCTTTATTAAATTAGAAACATGAATTGAAATGTCCTGGAGAGTGAGCAAAGCCATGCTCTGGGTGGCTGCAGTGTCCCCACAACCAAATCCAGATTTAGGAACAGTAAAACCCATCAGCCACGTACCTTCAACTCCTGCTGCTTTCCCTGGCTGCCTGTAGAACATTCCCAAAATGACACAACATCACCTTCTGAGAGACTTCCACAAACAAACCTTTGCTTTGGGAATTCTCCCCTTGTCCATCTCTCCACAAAACAGATCTGGACTTCCAGAGATCTTCACAGGATGTTGCTGGCATTACAAAAACTGGGATCTGACTTTGGAGATCTCTCCAATTCCTACAAAAACAATGGGATATCTTCCTTAGGGAGAGACTCTGCCCACCTTTGAGAAGAATGACCAGGATTCCTTCTCCAACCCCAGTGAGGCACCTGGGAAAGTGGGAATGAGAGGAAGAGACAATTCCTCATAGTTTTGCTAGGATGGGGAGGAACCCCAGCTCTGGAGAAGAATTGAGGTATTTAAATTTAATCTGAGTTTCTGTTAGATTTCAACTAGAACCAAACCCAAAAGTGATCAGAGAAAAAAACCCAAACAACTTCTTGGAACCAGAAAAATATTCCTGTGGATCCCTGCATTTCCCAACCATGGCACTGGCATTGCTTACACAGTTTTGATTTCAGGGGAGATGGTAAAATTTTGCTTTCCTCTGAGATTCCAGGGCTAAAGTTTTAGGAATGTCATGAATAGGAAACAAGAGTTAAAAACCCCACAAAAAACCCAAACCCAAACACCCCCCACCATAATATATTCTACTTCTCATATCAGCCAAGTTCAAGGGAAAGTATCAGATTCTGCACCTGGGATGGAGCAACCCTGGATACATGGACAGACTGCAATTTTCACACTAGAATTAAGTAGATTTAAAAAAAAAGTGCATTATCATTCAATAAAAACCCTCTGTGGATATGGGTACAAAACATTCACATAAAAAGCAAACAAGCAAAAAATCCAACTTAAATTAAAAAAAATAAAAATATTATATCACATCTGAGGTTTGGAGTCTTTTCCAACCTTTACAGCTCCAGTTCCAAGTGCTCTACTGCAGAAACATCCCTGACTCCTCACACACCACAGAAACAAAGGATTTTAACTCAGGTTTAAAAACTGCACACGAGTTTGATGCCCAGGCTGAATCTTTTTGTTCCTGCATTTAAGAAACCCCCAGCCTTGAAGACAAATTATCTGTAAAAGGCCCTAGAAGTTCTGTCTCCAAACCACATCAACCACAGAACCTTAGAAATGAACTCAGCAGCAACTGCATCCTTAAAACCAAAAAACCACACAAGTCCCAAATTGTTTACAAGTTTAATGACTTCAAAACTTGCATTTTTTAATACAAGCTTAATTTTTTTTAAAAAAAAAATTATCACAAGTTTATCATAATACTTCTGCTAATACAACTAGTATCTTTTAAAAAGAATATTTACAAAACTCCGATAAAAAATAAAAACTTCAGCATAGGAAAATTTCAGCAGGAAATAGCTTGAGCTGGAAGTAGCATGGCTTCCTGATTGTTTTACTGATCAACAGGGAAAAGGGGAGGAACACTGGTATAACAAATTGTATTTTATGTTTACAGCTTTGCACAAGCACCCCATGGTTTAGGAACCACCACACGTTGGCAAAGCTACTGAAGAAATACCTACCTTCTATCTGTAAATACATTAAGAAATAGATTTTGCAAAGCAACCATAGAATTATCAAAAATCTGAGCTTAAAATCTGAGTGCAAATCAATTCACATTAAAAACGACCTGTAATTGGAATTATTGAATTGATTTAAGAACTGGTTCTGGGACTCTTAAGGCTGTTTCCTTGTTCTTGTGCTGGATCTTGTCCTCCTCTCCATCCCTCCAGCAGTCTGAGCTGCCCTTGCATCCTCTTCTCCAAGTTTAGTTTTGTTTCTTCTTCCTCTTTGTAGAGACCCATTTTCATCATTCCCTATTTGCACATGGAAAAATGTCAATTTGTATCATCAATCAAACATTTCCCCAAAAAATTCCATCTTCACCTACATTGTTTTGAAAGGAAATGTCCCCAATGACAACATTCCAAAGATTACATCTCTGAATTCAACAAACCAGATACCAACCCCACACTTCTGCACATCCAATATCCTTTAAGTTGGATCCCTGAAGATTTACAGCTATTTCTGAAAGTAGGTTAACATTAATGAGAGCACCAAAACCAATTAGCTGCCACTTTAGCTAAAATTCCTTCCACTGACATGTAAAACTAAAACAGAACCAACACCAAAGTCCTGCAAAAATTGAAAACAGAGGAAGTTTTATGGCAAGAAATTGCTCATTGTGTAGCTCTAAAGAGTTACTGTCATTTCTACTTCAAGACATTCATTTGATAATATTTTTTAATTGGGAGTTTTGAAGTCAAGCTGAAAATTCCAGGGAATATTTTATGTGGCACAGCAGGACCAGGGCAGAGATTGTCCCCCTGTGCTGGGCACTGGGGAGGCACCTCCAGTGCCGTGTCCAGTTTGGGTCCCTCACTTCAGGAGGGACACGGAGGGGCTGGAGTGAGCAGGGAAGGGAATGGAGCTGGGGAAGGGAATGGAGAGTGACCAGGGAAGGGAATGGAGCTGGGGAAGGGGCTGGAGAGTGACCAGGGAAGGGAATGGAGCTGGGGAAGGGGCTGGAGAGTGACCAGGGAAGGGAATGGAGCTGGGGAAGGGAATGTAACTGGGGAAGGGCTGGAGCCCCAGGAGCAGCTGAGGGAGCTGGGATCTCAGATTTTTTCCAACTTAAATGATCCTGTCATTCTGTGATCTAGATCAGCAGCCCCAGGGCTCTGCACACAATTGTTGTCTACACATAACTCAGCCAAGCCTAGAGAAGAGAAAGCCACTCCTTGCCTCACCTGATTTTGATTTTTTGGGTGCCACATCCTCTGCTGGCAGCTGGCATTTCCTTCTGCGAGTGGTGGGGGCTGCCTGTGGAGCAGGGTCACCCTCCTGGCCTTTTCCAGACTGATTCTCTTCAGAACCAGTGGATGCTCCACTCAAATCCTGAGTTTCCAGAGTGTTGCCATTTTCTGGCAAGTCACTGCTTTTATGGGGAGAGGTAGAAGCAGCTGCCTCTAATAGAAATTCCACCTTCCTCCTATTATTCCTCAACTGCCTTGTTCTTCCCTGGCATGGATTATTTTCTGGAGATGTATCTTCACCTCTAAGAATCCTCTTCTGACCTCTGCCTCTGGGCAGGTTGGGTTTTCCCCTGAGAGAAGTGGAAATCGTTTCTTCAGAAGCGAAAGAAGTTGTTTTCCTCCTGCCCACTCTTGATGGATTTTCTTTTGCAGGTGGAGCTACTTCCAAAAGTTGACTTTGTTGTTCAGAAATTCCATCTTTACCATCTTCTGGCAAGCCTTGAAGTGAGGTGGGACTAAGAGCCAGTGAAGTGGTTGCTTGCCTCGAGCTGCCTTTTACAAAATCCGTACTTTCTTGGGAAGAATTGTCCTTGCTCTGTTTAGCTTCCCTGTCGTTACTTTTTCTACCACTTCGTTTTGACAGGACCTGGTTTCCCTGAAGAGAACTTTGGGCTTCTATCAAGGGGGCAATTTCCCTCCTCCTGCCTCTTCTCAGTTGAGTTTCCTTCCTGGATGGATCACACGTTTCTAAGGGAACATTCTGCTCTTCTTTGGGAGCCTCTGCTCCATCCCCCGCCGGCAGCCCGCGTTTCCCTCTGAGAGAGATGGGATTGGTTGTGTGTGATGCCACAGCAGTTTCTTTCCTTCTGCCCCTCCCTGGTGGCTCCTCCTTTGCACAGGGCACCTCTGCCACAGGCACACTTTGTTCTTCATGAGTACCCTCATCTTTAGCCTCTGACAAGCCACACTTTCTCTGGAGAGGAGATGAACTTGCCTCTGCTGCCGGATCCATCTTTATCCTTCTGTCCCTCGCTGATGAATTCACTTTTGCCTGTAAAGTTTTATTACCCAGAGCTGGATTTTCATTTTCTCTCTCTGATGTCTTTTTAGCATCACCTTCCAGCACCCCACGTCTCGTTCTGACAGAAGGAGATCTGGTCTGTGATGCTGCAGCCACCTGACGCCTCCTCCCTCGTCTCGGTGGATTGTCCTCTGCTGAAGTGGGAGCAGCTTCCAAAGCTGATTCTTGCTCTTGCACAACAGCCTCATCTTCCCTGTGATCTGCACTTAATGTTTGTTTTTCCATAAAGGCAGGACTAGCTTTCTGTGGGATGGAATCAAGTTGCTTTCTCCTGCCCCTCCTTCCCCGTGAAGGAGGATTTTCGGAATTCTCACGTTGATTATCTTTATCAGCCATCCCTTCATCACCCTCAGGTAAACCTTTTCCTTCAGTCGCTTTGGAACTGCCTTCCCCAAGCTGAAAATTGACTTTTTTACCTCTTCCTCTTCTACACATGACTGCATTTGTTTGTGCTGGATTCCTCTGCAGGATTTCAGTTTGCTCTGCTTTAAGTACTCCCCACTCATTTCTCGTCTTCCTGTGACTGCCCTGAGCAGGACTGGCACTGTCTGCAGCAGGGACAGATGTGGCACCCGGGCTGGGCTGCTCCTCCTTGCCTTGGGCTGCACTGGCACAAACAGAGCCCCAGGAATCCTGGGGAGAAGATTCATCCACTTCTGTTTCTGACTTAAATTTGGGAGTAATTTGTTTCAGGCTGTTCACATTTTCAGTAAACTCATCAGCTTTTTGCTCCAGAGAGTCTTTTTTGCCTCTCCTGTTTCTAGCCCTGGTTGTTTCCATGTTCTGAGCACTGACTGGCATTTTGTTTGTCTCTGCAGAAGGTGACTCTGCCTGTAATCTCTGAGCTGCCTCTGTTGTATTTTCCTGAGCATTTTCTGTTTCACATCCCTGAGATCCTTTCATCTCATTTTTCACGTGGGATTGTGTTTCAGCATCAGTTTCAGTTGATGTTTCCTCAGTTTTCTGAACTTGTTCTGTATTTTCAAGTGCGACCCCACGAGTGTCTGCTTTTATTTCAGCTGACTGCTTTCTGTTTCTAGTACTTCTGAAAGACTTAACTCTTCTCTTTGTTGCCTTCAGCTCAAGTTTAGTGCCATTTTCAGATTCTTGTGCTGTGACAGCCTCAAGAGCTTTGTCACAATCCTGTTCCTGTCTTTGTGTAACATTTGGGGATGGGTCTTTACGAAGATTTCTGGTTGCTCCACAAAGGTCTCCTGGAGAAGCCACTTTTCCTTGGTCATTCCTTCCTCGTCTCCCTCTTTTTGCTGGAATCACTGGTTCTGTGTTCTCCACCCCTCTGTGCCTCCTCCTCAGTGACAGGAGCTCTTCTTCACTGTCCTCTATCCCACTGTCATTAGCTTTGCTGTCAGGATTATTTAAACCTGTTTGCAGCTGACAAATTTCATTCTGAATGTTTCCAGGTCCTGTCTTTATGCCTGGATCATCTTCAGTTTCATTGGTGCCACAGTCCTGCAAACTCTGTTTGCTATTTGCAGGTGCTTTTTGTAGCAGTGAAGAATCTTCAACACAAGACTCAAGACTTTCATTTGGATGTTTTAACTCCTTCAGCTTTTGCCTTTTACCTCTTCCTGATTTCTGAGCAGCACCAGGTGGTTCCACAGATGAAACAATGTCGAGCCCTTCCTGATCAGGGCACTCTGGAACAACTTCTTGTATGCAACGCTTTGCCCTCCTTCCTCTGCCCTTGTTTTCATGTGTGATCACTCCCATCTCCTCTTGGGTATCAGGACTCTCTAACTCCTTTAAACTCACACCATTTTCACTTGGCTTTGCTGCAGCAGGAGGTACAGCCTTCCTTGGCCTGCCCCTTCTGGCTCTCTGGGTAGGCTGCTCTTCACCATCTGAGTTCTTCTGTTGAGCATCTTCACCTTGGGAAACTTTTCCTTCCTTTTCTACAACAGGGTTAAGAGCACAAACAAAAATTAGATATTCCTGTGCCTGATCAAAGCATCTGTGCATTTTCCTCTTTCCTCACAGAGGCATCTTGCTCAAGCAAACCATACAACAAATAAAGAAATATTGAACCAATTCCTAGATGAAAGGCCAGGCTTCTGACTGAAGTTGTTTAATTTATTTGGTAGGTCAAAGGGAAAAAATTAGCTCAGGAAATAGCTGGGCACACAGAGAGGTTTAAACAAGATTTGAACTTCATGATAAAGTTTGATTTTTTATATTCATTATTCCTCTAAGCAAAATATTTGTGCTTACCATATTTATGACTGGAATTAGAACCAGGAGGTGCAATTTCTTCCTGAGAATCCATAACATTTACTGATCTGACCTAAGGGAATAAAAAATAACCAATAAATGCATATCTGACAGGAACTTATGGAGCCAACCAATACCAGATGAATGTACAGCAAGATTTATAAAAATTCTTGTCAAATCCTTTTCTTTACAAATTAAATCAATTAGTCTTACAAATATATCCATTGTATTGTGGGCTGATACAAGCCCACAAACACAGCAAATTTAATTCCTGCCATCTAAAGTGAAAGACAACATTGTGGAGAGGTTGAGAAGTGCCTTAATGAGTGCTCAAAGGGAATTTGGGGTACTGAAGAGAAACTGAGTGCTCTGTAGTATTTTATTGTAGTTGTAAGCACTAAGCTCAGAGATACTCAGCATTTTACCTATAGAATATGAGAATCAAAATAGTTTTTTTCAGAAAATGGTATCTGGCAGTGATGCCAGCACATCTCCACTGAAGATCAAGATTCTTCTCACTGTAAAAACCAGCAGCAGAAGAAACCAGGCTGGTTTAACCAGACATCACCAAGCCTGACCCACCCATTGGAGAACTTCACTTTTCCTACCTGCAATGGTCACTGTGGAATGGTGAATGAGATGCTGGGAATGTCACTTTTATATTAAGCTTATCACTTTATTAAGTCTGATTTTAATGAGTCTTAATTTTAAAACACTTGTGGCAGGTCCCTTGAATACATTTTAACACACACAAATGCAGCTGTCCCTAAAAAATGTTGTAAGATACAAGGTGTCATACTAAGAAGTCTAAAGTCATTTCAGTCACAGGTTTCAAAGTCTAAAAACGTCCCTTCCAAAACTTAAAGTATTTTACCTTCATTTCCTCTGGGGTCCCAAACATTTCAGTCACTCCAGCATAGTCCACTTCAGAATCAGGTGGTTTCTGCCTAGGTTCTGCCATGAGCCTTTGCAGTCCCACAAAATCCTCAACTGGTTGATATTTCTCTTTAGGAGACTTCATTAATCTGCTGATTCCAAACATGTCTCCTATGGGCTCAACCTTTTCCTTTGGTGTCTGGAAAATGCGGCTGATCCCGACCATGTCTTCCACAGGTTGGGATTTCAGCTTTGGGGTTTTCTTGGCTGAAGTCACACCGGGCACAGCTTTTACTGCTTCCCTGCTCTCTGCTGGAGTGTCCAGCAACCTTTTCAAGGCAATTTCATCCAGGAGTGGTTCTGGCTCTTGCTGTGGGGTCCTCAGGAGCTGCTTAATGCCAGACAGGTCCTCCAATGGCTCTGGCTTCTGCCGTGGGGTCTTCATGAGCTGTTTGATGCCTGACAAAGCCTCTGTAGGCTCCAATTTCTGCTTTGGGGTCTTCATGAGCTGTTTGATGCCTGACAAAGCCTCTGTAGGCTCCAATTTCTGCTTTGGGGTCTTCATGAGCTGTTTGATGCCTGACAGGTCCTCCACTGGTTCTGGCTTCTGCCGTGGGGTCTTCAAGAGCTGTTGGATGCCTGACAAAACTTCTACAGGCTCCAGTTTCTGATCTGGGGTCTTCAAGAGCTGTTGGATGCCTGACAAAACCTCTATAGGCTTCAGCTTCTGCTTTGGGGTATTCAAGAGCTGTTTGATGCCTGACAAAACTTCTACAGGCTCCAATTTTTGATTTGGAGTATTCATGAGCTGCTTAATGCCTGACAAAACCTCTGTAGGCTCCAGTTTCTGCTTTGGGGTCTTCATGAGCTGTTTGATGCCTGACAAAACCTCCATAGGCTCCAATTTCCGCTTTGGGGTCTTCATGAGCTGCTTGATGCCTGACAGGTCCTCCACTGGTTCTGGCTTCTGCTGTGGGGTCTTCAAGAGCTGTTTGATGCCTGACAAAACTTCTACAGGCTCCAGTTTTTGATTTGGAGTCTTCATGAGCTGTTTGATGCCTGACAAAACCTCCACAGGCTCTGGCTTCTGCTTTGGGGTCTTCATGAGCCTCTTGATACCTGACAAAACCTCTCCTGGTTCTGACCTTTGCTCAGGGGTCCTTAAAATCTTCCTTTTGCTTGACATGACTTCAACTGTCTCCAACTTCTGCTTTGGAGTCCTCCTTTTACTTCCTGATTTCATTGGAGATGCTGTTTTTTCTGGAATTATTGCCAAACTATCCACATTATTTTTGTGCACAGCTTCTCTTTTTTCAGGAGTTTTTGTGGCTATTTCATCAAACATAGATGGAGATGACTCCTCTCTCAGAAAGCAGAGCATACCTGGACTGTCTTGCTTCTGCTCTGAACCATCTGAATTATTTAATGGTGACACCATCATCTCTCCTAAAATAAGCAGTAGATTTACATAATTTGCAAAATAAATTAAGCAGAAAATCCAAGCATTTTAATTGCTGTATAATAAAAAAAAATCAAATTCAGATATACCTTTTTAGAAATAAAAATCCAAACTTGTGCACTGGGTACTCAGTGTCTGAAACAACTCATCAGAACCTTGCAGTTCCATACCAAATTGAATGAATGATAAAATGTCCTACTCAGAAATTATCAGGAACTACATTTTCTTTTAATACCTGATAAATCTCAATGGTTCCTTTCATAGGTTGCTGCATGCTTCACCTCAGTTAAGTCTGCCTAGGCTGAGACTACTGCTAACCCATAATATAAGTCAATGGGTTTTTTTTAAAATCCCAAACCTACCAGAACCCTCAGGAGTGTGCAAGTCAGAAATGTCCCCTGCAGCCCATGGTGGTGTAAAATCAGCATTCTGAGCATCAGCCAAAGGAAATGTTCTTTCTCCCTGATTTTCTGGAGTTTGGAATATTTCAGGCACTCCTAGAAATTATATTGGGAGAAATTAGCAGATGTTTTGACAAAAGAACTTCACAGTGGGCAGATGAAGCAACAGACTTTAAAATCTCACCTGTGAAGCTTTCATCCATATCCATGTTAAGCTTCATCCTGGGATTTTTTACCACTTTAGGGACATGTCCAGCTGACCTGACTTTGGTGGAATAAGCTCTACCTACAACTATGGTAGCAGGTGACTCTGCATGACCTGTGCTAAAATGATCTTTTATTTTCTTCTCTGAAGTCTGCAGAGAGAAAAGGAAAAAAAAAAAAAAGAAGTTATTAAACAAAGATTCATGGTGGTAGAGGTGGCCAAGCTCCTTCCATAACTTATCATCAATCATGGTTAACTGGGAGGTTCCAGAAGACTGGAGGATGTCCAAAGCCAACAAGGGCTGGAAGGCCCAGCCAGCCTGAGTTTAGGAAAGGCAGATTCTGCCAAATTCCTAATTTTTATGATGCAAGACTGGACTCCGAAGATCTTGGGGGTCTTTTCCAACCTTAATATTAATAATTCTGTGAATCCTTTTGTAGCAACCTCCATTTCCCATGTGCTGTGGGAGACATCAGCTCCCATTTTACATCACACCAAGAGCTCAGCTTCTCGATCAAACTCCATCCAAGCTGTTTGGTGGTTATGCAAGAAAATAAAACAAAGAAGCACAAAAAAGTAAAGGACACCTTTGCTGGGGGGTTCCTCCTCTTCAGGACTCTTCCTTTACGGACACTTCTTTTAGCAGTCTTTGATTGTGGTCTTGCAACTCCCAATTTTACCACTTCTGCCCAAGATTTTGCAACTAGAAGAAAATGAGAAAGAACCACTTTAACTCTTAGCTGTGTAAATGAAGTTCACAATTATTTCTTTGCAATTCCAATACATTTTCTGCAGTCTGGCAGAGGAAAGTGGTTGTTATTATCTAATAACATCTGAAATGTTCTCTGAAATATTCTCAATTTGAAAACCCAGTTCCAGCTGTAGTTTAAGAAGAGTCCAAGTACCCATTGTGGCTTTCCAAACCAAAACAATGAGCTCCACAGTGTCAAACACAACTCAGATCCTACAGCTGAACACTGACCCAATTCCCTCCTCTCTCTTCTGGAAGTAACTCAGTTTTCCCAACAGAAACTCACCATGAGCCTTTCAGCCTCGTTCATTATAGATGAGCTTTACTCTGGTGAGATTTAACAGAAGAGAAATTGTCTCTAAGTGAAGTTTCTCTCACCACCTTCCTGAGGAATTTCAGTTATTTATTCTGCATTTAGATCCACAAAGACTTGCCATAATTTTTCTTGTATCACCTTCTCCTTGTGACACAATCCCAAAATTCCCAAAGCAAGGTTACCTTCATCACAGCATCATCCCACAGCAGTGGGAGCAGGGAATTACAGCTGTGCAATAAAAAAAAAAAAAAAAATCTATCAGAACACAGGGATCATATAAAAGAAATTATTTTTAAAAAAAGAGCTAAAAAGGGGAATGCTGTTCCTAAAGGAAAGGATGTTGTTATTCTCTTGTCAGAATTGCTATGTCAGTCTGTAAATAAAAAAAAAAAACTTTGAAAAGCTGACATTGCCAGGCTGTGCAGGATGCAGAGGAAAATTCCAAGCATCCAGGAAATGATCTGAAAAAGCACTGGAAACAGTTTTATTTTGGATCTGAAATTTTTAAGAGCTGTGATGTTCTTTTCATATTACAGAAGGAATTGATGTAGTGATATTAAAAAGCACATTACAAAGAGCTGGTGAGAAATGGAATGCCACTGATATTTGTCAAGAACTCTGCTGCCATTAAAATGGACAGAATAATAAAGTAATAAAAATTCCTGGGTGAATGGGGAATTTGACTTTGTCAAACTGATTTAACTGAGGAAAACAGGTGACAAATACACCCTACTTCAAAGTTTATTCAAAAGTCAAAACCTGAGGAACCAGAACTTCCCTATTAGTTTCCAATGCTGTCAAAACTATTTCAAATCAGTGCTCAACACTGGGAATTCTGAAGATTTGAAAGTAGCATCCAGTTATGATCCTATTTTTTATTTCTACCAGTTATGTAACACTTTGAGTGGTTAAATACAGCCCAGTTCCTGGACAAAGTTTGTGAGCCTTGTATAAAAATAAGGCACAAAATAACCGAAGTGAAGCTGCATTACTGTAAATAAAAGTTTTTCAAAACAAAACTGATGCAATAAACATGGTTTAACACTACTTGAACTTGACAGATTTTAAAGATCATGACTCTAACGTTGCAAAGAGAATGTTAATTTTATCATTTTTTTTACTTCTGAACATTAATATTTGTCTTTAAATGAGTTTGTAGATGCTTTAATAAATTCACTTTACGAATGAGAAAATGCAACACTTTGCCCTTCCAAGAAGCCCAGAAGTTTTCAGAAGATTCACCAATTATTTGGTGGCCTCTGCATAACTAAACAGGCCTTTTCCAGTTTGGTTCCTGTATTTTAAAGCAAGAAAGCAAATACTAAAAATTAACTGTTGAAACCAACCTAATAAATTGGCATTGGAGGCACCACTTCTCCTCTTGGCACTGATGACAGCCACAGCCCCACCTCTGCTCTTGATGGCAGTGCCCTTCAAACCCAGCTGGGCACTTCTGGCTGACTTGGCAGGTGCCACTGTCACCAAGGCTTTGGCATCTTGGGTAGCAGGAGAAGATTTTGGTGTTTTCCCTTGGATATTTTTCCCCTCTGGATCCATGTCTTCTGTGCCAGAATCCATTTCCTCTGCAATTGGGAATGGTGTGGGGGGCTGGGAGATGGAGAAACGCCCTTTCCTGAAAGGGGCTGGAGAGCCTGAAGAGATTTTGGGTGTTGCATTCCCTGAGGCAGGGGATGAGGCACCTGGGGACTGCTGGGCTGGGGAATTTTTGTGTGACCTTTCTGATTCCTGGTAAAAAAAAAATACACATTAATGAATGGAAGTTATTTCCTTCTTAATGAAGTGATCTGTCCAGGCAAACCCTGCCTGAGACTTGGATTTTCCTTTAACAGGAATGATACAGAAAATGACTCCTAAACTGTTGATCAAGGTTAGGCAGGAAGTTAGGAAGTTAGCCAGGAAGGTTGATCTTACTTTTGATCCTCACACTTTCCCATTCCTACCCTTCATCCATCCCCAGCCCCCAAATAATAATTTATTGTCAATTTTAGTTTCATATTGACAGATTTTCAATTTTTAGCCTGGTTTTTCTTTGTGTGTTTTACCCATCCAGTAAGCAGCAGAGTGACCTTTCCACTGAACTTGGTTGTACTTTCACTTTATAATTAACCTGCTTTTGCTGATGATTCTTTGAGCACTCATGAGTGACACCAGCATGCATCACACAAGGTTTACTACTAATTTTGAACTGATAAGTAATAGAATAAATCCATATATAACAGAACTTATAAATTCTGATCACAGTAATAGACACAACAGCTTGATTAGACTTCACATTTACCTGATCTATCAAGTGCTTCAAACCCTGAGCCTTCTTGAGTGCAGCCCTCAGAGAGTTTCCGTAGGGTAAACTCCGCCTGGCAGGGAGAGCTCCTCTTTTCAGGGGAGAGTTGGGAGGCAGACTTTGATCAAAGAGTTCTGGACTCAGATGACCACCAAAAGACACTCTCTTTCTTTTACCCAAAGTCTGAGGGACATTTTCACCACTCTTCCTCTTCTGAGAGCTTCTTTTTGTCTTGCCTGAAAAGAACAATTGAAATTATTTTTAGATAGCCAAGAACACAAGGCAGCATTTTAACCTTTCCTTGTGCATTTCCAAGTTGGAAACAAACCCAAAGAAACCTACCTTAAAGGGAAATACATTAAATCCAAGATATTTTATACATACTGTGTATTGTAAAGGTCAAATGTAACTCCATGATAAATATTTTATGATTAATGCCAGTAATTGGTTCCACATTTTGTCCAAGTAAGAGAATTCTTAGTAAAATGCTACAGAATTTCTTAAATACAGAAAACAATGCAGGGGATCCAATGGATTTACCTGAGTCTTCCCCATGCAAGAGGCCAAAAGTTTCGGTTTCTGAGCCAGGCTCAGCATCTCTCAGCCCAGCACTACTTCCAGATCTTCTCTTGGCTGATGGTGTCCGAGGTCCTGTAGCACTGGCATCTTCCAAATCCTGGTTTTGGTGACACCTGTCCACGGCCAGCTCTGCTGGAGTTTCTGAACTGTGATGTTCCTGAGCGGTGTTTGTCTCCAGTGCTGTTCCAGTCACAACTCCAGAGCTCCTTGGCCTTCCCCTTTTCCTTCCAGGTGTCTGATCAGCAGGAGATGCCAACATCCCTTCTGAAGCCAGTGCCTCAGAATGGGCACTTTTGTCCAAGAATTCTTTACTTTCCCTGCTGTTTCTTCTGGGACTCTTGGAATTAGAGAGAGAGGCAGGGGTTTCACAATGTCCCACCTTCGAGTTATCCAGGTTTGCCTGATCCCAGACCTCTTTCAGCACTTCCTGGGCAGTTTTTCGTGGTGTTTGCTGTTTGCTGTTTGGTCTTTGCTTTAAGCAATTGTCTTCTGGCAAAGGTGGTTGTGTGTTATCAATTCTGCACATTGAATCTTCCCTTGGAGCTCCAGCTGGGATTGCTGGAAGTGATTTCTGTTTCAGTGATGCACGCCGTGGGGTCTTTGGAGTATCAGGATTTCCAGAATTCATTCCAGTGGTTTCTGTGGGAGGTGACATGAAAAGAGACCGAGGACTCTTCCTCCTGGGCCTTGGTGTGTTCAGTGCACATTTACCTCCCTCAGCAACACGGGAGGTGGGGGTTGTGAGGCTGCACGTCATTGCTTTAGCTGGACAATCCATCCTTTCTATGGAGCACTGCTCCAGCAAAACCTGGGAATTCCTGTGGTTCTCCTTGCTGGGTTTGGGTGTAACAGCAGTACCTTTGGATCTGCCTGGTGTCCTTAACTTCTTAGGATCCTGCAATGGATTCTGACTGGTGTCTCCTGACACCTCCTTTGAAATGGGAGTTCGAGGACTCCTGGTAAAACTTTTCCTGGGGGTTCTTCCTCCAGCTGACAGCTGGTTAAACCCTGGGCTGTTTCTCTCTTCACATCTCACAATTATACATTCTTCCGTATTTTCCATCCTGCTCGTTTCCTTTCCTTTAGCCAGGCTGCCCAGATCAAAAAGACAGCTCAGGGATGGAATGGGAGCACTTGGTTCTGGCAGAACACTCCCAGGGTCTCCTTTTGCAGCTTGCTGAGAGGCAGTTCCTCTGTGCAGAGGTTTTTCCATTTGCAGCTCATTTTTCAGATTTTCATAGAGTTTACTAAAGGGAGACTTTTCATTTTGCTTTTTAAAAACACAGTGTATTCTCTGGGAAGATTTGGGTGGTTGGAGTTTGACAGCGAAAGCTTCAGGAAGATTTTCCTCTGGAGTTTGTTTATTTTCATTGGCATTTTTTTCTTCACACTCAGCATTATCTACAAAGAAAGCAAAGCAAAAATACAGACACAGAGTTACTTCAAAATTGCAGAACAACAAATACAAGTTCCATAAATACAGATTAAAAATTTCTTATTTTCCCTCCCAAGAGAGAAGATCCTGGTCAACCAGGATCTACTGAAAGGGAACACCTGGAAGCAGCTGGGGTCTTTTGCACTGGAACAAAAAATCTGTCAGAAACGATAAAATAAAGAGCCTTCTCTGAAAATCAGGATTATTTAAGACAAGAAAGATAGGAAGGTGAAGTCCTGGCATTTAATTTATTATAATTTATAATAATTTACATTAATTTATAATTACCCAGAATTAGCAGCTCTGGATTTTTCTGTTTCTACAGGAAAGTTCCTGTAAATAATCATTTCAATATATACCATGTATCTCCAAAATTATACTTGTTTTGATTTTTATTAGGAAAGAAGGCATGAGATAATGCAAAATTTGCTTAAAAAGGTGTAGCTGTAGGTCAGCAGAGAAGTTCAAGTTTAAAATTTAATGTCAAAGGTGAATTCACAGCATTTAAACATGATAATCACTGCCACAGCAAGGTCTACTCAGACTGAAAAGTCTTAAAATGCCTTTTTCCTCCTCTTTTCAACTGAATTTAATTCAAATGCTAATAATAAATGCACTGAAGGGGACAAAAGCAAAGCCCTCATAAAACAAGTACCAACCTGAAGCACCAAGACTTTTAGCTCCTGAAGTTTGTTTGTGTAATAATTCCACTTCTGCCACCTGCTGAACATGAAGAACCTGTAAATTTGTACAACATTACAGCAGAGCAACGAGTATTTTATACTTCAGCTCTCAATTCTACATCGAAGAAAAACCTATTTATAAGAGAATTTGCATTATCCCTAAACAAGCTTTAAAGTGCTCAAATTAAATCCTTGAACTTTTCAATATTTACCATTGGCCAATATATTTGAGGCTCTAGAGAGGAGAAGTTTATCTTGTTTTATCATTTAAATTCTGAGCTGTCAATGCAGCTGTAAAATAAGAATAAAAACACTTGAACCTCCCCTTCTTACCAAACTCAGTGGAAGATTTTTAGGTCCGTTTCAGTAACACCATGAATTATTAATTATCTATTACCAAAAAGTGATAATTTTTTGACTCAAATTTAGACTAAAAATTACCAAACTTTTAAAATTATTTATCTGAAAGAGTTTATTTGTATTTTGAGACAGAAAGGCAATTTAGGGCTGAAAAGTTACTTTGAATAAGAAAACAGAACAAGGAAATAGAAAATCATGTCAACTACTACCAATACATTTGTAAAGAAAAAGCCCACAGCCACAAAACTACCTGCAGAGTTTCATCTTTTGGAGACCTGGAATGCCTCTTCTTTGGAGTTGATTGCAGAGGATATTCAAACCTGAAAGAAATATTTTAAAATACAATTTTTTGTCAGATAATTGATGACTAAATTCCTATTATTAAGAGGAATGACCTAGGAATAGCTGTCCCCTCCCAACAATGCACACATCTCCATTTGAAAGGCTTCAGTAACTTAAAACCACTTTAAATTTCCCCCTAAAACTGACAACTCTTGAAACAAAATCAGAATATCTCTAAAAAATTCTACCTTTATTGATTTAGCTTAATGTAATAAAAGTGATAAAAAGATAACTTTGAGCAATCCTGCTTTCTGATGAAGTCCTGTAAGAGAAATATGAACTAAACTTCATTAATTTCCACTCTAGAATCAAAAAAATTCAATATTCTGGCCGTGGCACCCACCTGAAAGAGCGATCAATAATGGTTAACACATCTCCGTGCTTCAGGGGAATGGGCTGCTCAAAGCAAGCCCCGTTCAGCTGCGTGGGGTTCACTTCACTTAAATTAGTCAGGACTGCCTGAAAATCAAACACAAAATGTGAGTGACCTGCTGAGATGCAACAAGGCAATGCAAAATTCACTAAAACATCAGCATCTCACCTCCTTGTTCTCATTGATCTCGATTTTGCAGTGCTCGTTGGACACCCAGGGCAGCCGCATGCGGATGTCACACTCTGTTTTCCTGGGGGGAAAACACAGGTTCAGTTTCACACAGAACACAGGGAAATCTGCTGGACAATTAGGGCATTGCCCAAAATTTATAATGGTACAGCAGCATGATGTCTCTAATTTGAAGACAATTAACTACCTAAATCTTTTTAAACTGGCAAAAATAGCAGCTTGCACTCCTCCAGCACAGGAGCTGAGATCAGAAAAAAAGCAGATCACAACAAGTTGAGACATGGCTACAGCACAGCTGCTGCTATGGGATTACTTGCTTCCAGAGTTTCCTGAGACTTGTGGAATATTTTTAAACAAAATCAGCTGTTAAAGTCATTCCCAGAGTTACATTTTTGATCTGAGACTGCCAACTGGACCCTTGGTCTCACCTGCAGAACCACTTCTATCTTCTTAAAAGTTATCAGTGAGTTAAAACATGTTTAAAAATGTATAGACTTTTCCTTTCTGTCCTCTTCTGAAGATAATCTCTAACGCTTTTGATTTGCTGTTGGTTTTAACACTTATCACTTTTAATCCCTTCCCCTGATTTCCTATGGCTAGAAACTTAAAATCAATCAATCAATGTAGTTCTGGCAAGGAACAGACAAATAGCAGTACTAAAATAAAGATCAACTTTCTACTCTTACATTAACCTTCCCTCCTCTGCACACCATTCCTAAATGAGCATTTATTTTTGTAAATAAGCATTAAAAGACATAATCTGCAGGAAAGCACTCATCATTTCAATGTATGCAAGCAAATTCTCACCTTCCAAATAAACAAGAAGTTGAAGTGAGTGGAAAAACAATTCCATCAGTCCCATTCCTTTTAATGACAACGATTTTCCCGTAGCGTGGCATCTTCGAGTGTAAGGAACCTTACCTATAAAGGAAACGCCCAGATTACTCATCCTAATTATGATTTACATGTTTATGAGAATAAATCAATTTTTATGCTTTATTTTGTTCCAGGGATGAGATATTTTCCACTGGACAGCAGATGAATCTCACTGTTATATAACACAGCTATACGTGTTTCCTCATGTAAAAAAAATGTGAATGTGCTTATATAAATTGTCAGACTAAATTTGGTATTTGGGAGGTTTTTCTTACCCATCTTGAAAAGGTTCAGGAGCAACACAGATTTTGTCCCATAAACAACTTTAAAATTCACTCCTCTTCACCTAAATCTAAACATTTCAATCTCTTACCCAGATGGAAATTCTGAAATTTGAATTTAAAATAAAGACCAACTGATTGTAGTTATTTCCTCCTGGAAAAAGAGGGAATTGTGGTATCAGCTGCCAGGAGCAGTGGCAGGAACAGCTGGGAAGGGGCTGGAAATTGGGCAGCTCCTGAACTGGCATAAAAAGCCCAAACCCACAGCGCAAACAGATACATTCTTATGTATTTTCATATAACGGATTATTCAGCATATGACTACCACAAGCGATCCTCAAAGAAGCATCTTTAGCAACACTCTATTTGAAAGCAGCAAGGTAAAACAAGGGAACTAAATGCAGTTGAGACTCTTATGGATATTTTTGGTGGGTTTTATGCGATTAAACACTTGTTGACAACAAGACACAACTGGGAGGGGAACCCGGGAGTCCCTTCGGCTTTCAGGGAACGCAAACACCCGGTGTCCTGCACCGAGCCACGGCAGCCACCAGCTCCTACGAGCCAAAAAAGCCACATGAGATGCAAAAGCCGGAATTTATAAGCCGGGGTTTCTGGCGCTCACAGCCACCGGCGGGGACAGAACAGGTAAACACCGGGGGAGAAGGCGGCAACAGCCACCATGGCAGGGGGCTAGAGCCACAATGCCAGTGGCCACCGAAGCGGGCTGTCAAGCGGCCCGACTCCTCCTCGCGGCACCCATCACCCCAAAGCCGCGTCCCTCCGGCCCCCCTCCCGTCCCCGCTCGCCCACTCGTACCTGGCTCTGCCGGGCCCGCACCTGGCTCTG